TTTCAATTGTGAGTTTCTCTGATTTTCGTATTCGACAAAATTCATCCAACCGCATTTGCTCTTTATTTCTTTCTTTCGTCAAGGATGCATAACAAGTATATGCAACATCTGCAGCAGCAAATCAAAATAAAAAATGTTTTTCAATTGATATGTTATAGCTAAAAATCAGATTTTTACGACACTTAATTTTTGTACACAACAAACGTGTTTAGCCACTTTCTGAATTATATTATAGGCCTACTTTTAGTCTATTTGGACAATGCGAGCAAGCAATATAAATATGTGGTTATTGAAAAGTTGAAAAGAGAACAAGAAAATATGAAAATATAGGAAGTTACCTTTATGCGCAACTGTCCACACTAAAAAAGAGAAGAAAATAGTTATTTATTCCATAGTTGTTAGATATACAGCTAATTTAATAAAGGTTGTCCTTTGCAAACCTTATACTCTAAACCTTAAACTCTAAACGTGCAAAGCATAATGGGAGCATTATTTAATCAGTTTAGAAATCATATATGGGGCCCGTTTCTTAGAGACATGGTAAATATCTCCTTACGAGAACAATTCATTCACAAATAGCGGCGGCAATATTCAACTACTAAGCTTCAAACTTGTGCTCCCATTAAGCTTTGCGCGCTTAGAGTTTAAGGTTTGCAAAGGACAACCTTTTTGAACTAGCTGTATACAGCTGTTTCAATTAAGGTTGTTCCCCGAGCAAAGCGGAAAAGTCGAATACGAGCGCGAAAGGCTGCTGGGAATCGCTAATAAATTCATTCATCAATTGAAACAGCTGTATGTACTTGACTAAAACGTTACATGTTTTTCTTGATTTTCCCAGTTATCATGCATGCATGCATATAAAATGCAAATAAATGCAAATGTCATAAATGTTTGTGTGTAGATTTAATTTAGCTTTTTTAGTTAAATGCATGTTTGACATAACATAAACATTAGTGTATAGTTTTTCTTTATTTTTGCACCAAATTAGACGGTTCGTCAGAGGGTTAAAAGGGCACACAGTAATTGGTTTTAACTGTTGTGGTGTCCCAGCCATCTGACTGTATGTATTGTACTGTACTGAACTATATATATACTGTACTGAACTATATATATACTGTACTGTCTTTGTTAGATTGTATCGTGTTTTTTTTGGGTTTTTTTGTATTGTACTGTATGGTATAAATGGCGAAGTTATATAAATAAATTATATGTAGGGTCTGGCGAGAAATACGACCAACGGATTGTAATTCAATGATTATCAAACAATAGATGTCTAACCTCCACTACTCTGCGTATAGACAGCATCTTCAAATATGATCCTGGTTAGGTTAGGATACCTCGAACCACTGGCCGCGGGTTTTAATAGTTCCTTGCCAATCTTATGAAAACTTGAATAACTAAACACCTTCCCACTATTTAGTTTTTCTAATAGATCTTGATGGTCAAAGGAATTTTTGGACAAATTCAACTCTTGTAGGTTGCCGTATTCTTGCACACAATTTGGCCAATCAACAAGATCACAATCAGACATATCCAACTTTTTCAACCTACGCCAAATTTTATATTCCGGGTGAGGTATATATGACAAATATAAATAGCGTAGAGGGTTGTTAGATAAATTCAGTTCTTCCAGTTCATGACAGCATTGAAGACCCTCGGGTACCTCTGTGAGACCACAACCAGACAAATTCAACTTTTTTAAACCACGCCAAAGTTTACAATCCAAGGAAGATATAAGAAATAAATGTATTAAAGGGTTGTTAGATAGATCCAGTTCTTGACAGAATTGAAAACCTCCGAATAACTTTGTAAGACCACAACCAGACAAATCCAACTTTTTCAAACCACGCCACCAAAGTTTACAATCCAAGGAAGGTATAAGTATTAAATGTCTTAAAGGGTTGTTAGATAGATCCAGTTCTTCCAGTTCATGACAGAATTGAAGACCTTCGGGTAAAAAGGCAAGACCACAACCAGACAAATCCAACTTTTTCAAACCACGCCAAAGTTTACGATCCAAGGAAGATATAAGAAATAAATGTCTTAAAGGGTTGTTAGATAAATTCACTTCTTTCAGTTCATAACTGTATTCAAGACCGTCGGGTAACTCTGTGAGACCACAACCAGACAAATCTAACTGTTTGAAATATGTCCGAGACCTAAGTATTGAAGATATATCTGAAAGGCTTAGATCTTTGTTAGAGAGATCCAGGAACTCTTGGGAGCAGTCTAGTGAATAATCTGTTTTTGATTCTTTCTCTTTGTTAGACAGATCCAGGAACTCTTTGGAGTAGTCTAGTGAATAATCTGTTTTTGATTTCCAAGGAGAAAGAATCTGATGTGGTGGTAAGATAGAATCCTTAACATTTTCCTGGGAAAATGGTTCAGCCATAACTGCAGATAGTCAAATACCTCTACAAACAAATAATGAATTTGTGTTAGAAGATGTTAGCTGTATTTTCTTGGATGAAACTTACTGTATTTCCTTAGGAAATAATCCCCTCTGTTAATTATTATTAATTATAAATAAAAAATTACCCTCTGCCCTCTATTTAGCCCAATTTTTATTTAATCATTCTTAATATAAACTTGCAGCGATAATGCTGTGTATATAATGTTCACTGATATGGCTAAATAATGGTAAATTGTATGCATTTTTTTTTAATGTTTGCTTAATGATGATTTTGTAAATTAAATAAATATTTTTTAAAGAACGTTAACATTTTTGCAGCTCCCAGTCTCTAACGGTGCTATACTGGACATTTTCCAGCACTGAAGACAAATCACATCAGACTTGCTCAAACTCACTTGCAAGGTGAATATGTTTTTGATTTAACTCTGAGTGTATATCCACACCGGGGAGGCTGAAAAGTTAGCCTGACCACAGTGGGAATCGAACCCGCGACCTTAATAACACCTTGGGATAATAGCCCAATGCTCTGCCAACTGAGATACGAGGTGTGGTATTTCGAAACTAAGTCTCGATACCAATGTGTTCTTATGATCATGATATTATCATATCATGGTATTCCGAAATACCACACACTCGAACCGACTTGATCTCGTAGCTCAATTGGCATAGCATTAGACTAGTATTCCAAAGCCGTCGCGGGTTTGATTCCCACTGTGGTCAGGCTAACTTTTCAGCCTGCCCGGTGCATACCTGTAGATTTTATTTTTGTGGAGGTAGCCAATCTTTAAATGGAGCTAGATTATGCCACATTCTCGTACCCAGAACCCGTCTTACACACGGTCAATAGAGCATGACAAGGGTCGCGGGGTACGAGAATGGGTTGCGCGCATTTGCCGCAACTGCAGATCAAAATTTAGCCTCTGAACGAGAACAAAATGCCACTAAGGTGTGCCAATGTCATGTTTATGCACGTACTCTGGGTATTTTACTCTTAACAAGTGCATGTGTTATTTATTTAATACAGAATATAGAAGTGCATTCTGAGAGTGCATTCTTGCAGTTATTCCAGTTAGTCAGTAACTCCGGGCTTAGATAACATGCTCCAAATTACTTTTGGAGTTAACAACACAGCAAGTAACTTTAACTTGAGTTATACTTAGCTCCAAATGATTTTTGGAGTTAGCCAGTAACTCCGCAATTTATATTTCAACTCAGTTTTGAATTACACAAGTTACTCAAGTGTATATTTTGGTTTGGAGTTAGCCCTTTAGACTTTGGAGGTAGCGTCGCTCCATAACTTCCTACTTTCTACAGGCATGGCCCGGTGTGGATATACACTCAGAATAATATCAAAAACATTATATTCACCTGAGTACACATAACATCAAAACACACACAAAAAATAATATAATATTTTGTAATATATTTGATAATTATTTTATAAAACTGCTAGAATTTTCTGCAAGTATATCAAGTTTCAAGGAGATTAAATTAAAATAGTGACAAAATTACCTTCTGGGGCCACCTTCATGCCCAGAGAGGTGGTTAGCGCTAACCCTCGATTAAAATTTAACCTGCTGTTTTGGTTTGTGTATTTGTACACGTCTGTTTATCTCAAAACGTCAGAGAGGTAAACTCCTAGAGTTTCAATATTGTGTCAGCCAGCGAGCCAGGATGCAAGCCATGCAAATTATATTTAAAATTATTCAAAATAGTTAACAAGTGAAATGGAAGATTGTATATTAGTAAAAAATACACAAAATTCAGAAACGAACTATATTAAAAGAACCCAATATCAATTACAGTAATTTTATAACTCAAATAACTCAATTACAAATTACAAGATGTTTTAAGATCTAATGGACAACTTGCAGGCGGAACGATGGAACATGGAACGTGGAATGCTATGTTTACCCTTTTTTTGTTATTTATCAATATTTCGGGTTGATTTGCTTGGTATAACTACGCGCTCGCATAAACAGCAGTGAAGAAAACGTATTACAGCATTTTTGAGATTTGCAAATATTGGCCAGTCAAGAAAAAACAACAGAATTACGCAATAATTATAAAGGAAAAACGGTATAAGAAAAAAAGACAGTGTATACCTCACAATTCCCTCTTCCCCTGCAGTGGAGTAGGAACCCCCCCTAACATTTTGCAAAGAGGGCTTAGCTGAATTAATAACAAATATACGCATTGCATAGTTAGAAAAAAATTATTAAACATACTCTTGCCGATATTTTTGCTGTTCAATTTCTTGAATTTGCCACCAGAAAGTGTAGACAATGAATGCTTTCCCGAGTTACCCCCTACAAAACCGGCCCTGAATTTCAGCCCTTCTATCTTTAAACATCTTCCTACGCCACTATACATAACACCGTCTTTCTTTCCTTATAACTTTGCGTAATTCTGTTGTTTTTTCTTGACTGGCCAATATTTGCAAATCTCAGAAATGCTGCAATACGTTTTCTTCATTGCTGTCTATGCGAGCACGTAGTTATACCAAGCAAATCAACTCAAAATATCAATAAATAACAAAAAGGTAAAAAAATAGCATTCCACGTTCCACGTTCCAGCGTCCCACCTTTTAGTGCTAACCCAACTTGCTTTTAGACTGACTAAATTTTAATCTAAATAAAGCGAAGGGAGTCGAACACCACAGCTAAAAAGAACATAATGAAATTAGTAAAATTGCAAAATTTGGTTGCAAAATGTTGTAAAGCTTGGAAAATATAGTCTTTTATTTCTTTATTTTTATTTATTTATTTTATCGAATTTGTCACCATACAAAAAAAAATTACATTGACGAAGACGACGCATACATACATGACAAAACAAGTTATATGTGAACGGAACAGGACTTTTGTCCCACTTGAAACCTAACCCCTTACAATATACACAATGTACTATATTTGTCTTTACTCAACAATGTATACATTATACTTTTGTACACATTTATATACATATACACATGCATATTTGGAAACGACTAACATGACAAAAAGAAGTTCAGGAATGACTATAATTGGGAACAACCAGGAGGACTGTATGTTGATAACTTTGTAATGTACATGTTAATTAGGGTAGACTTGAATGCAGGTAACGAGTGGTAGACTTTAAGGTATGAGGGCAGACAGTTCCATAGTTCGGCTGATCTAATAAAAAACGATTTTCTGTAATAATCTTGTTTATGTTTAATGATTAAATTGTAGTTGTTAATATCACAATTCCGAGACCTATATCTTGGCTCGAAAGTACAAAGAAAATCATTGGTGAAAATCAGTCCTGCTCTGGATTTAAAAAGAAGCATGAGATCGGCAATTTCTCTGCGAAATTCAAGGGGAAGAAGATTGGTTCTGGCAAGTCCCTGGTTATATAACACATCAGCATGATAGTTCAGGGTTGACGGTTGGAAAAGTACAAAACCCGTTGTGGTTTAAAATTAACACGTATACACTTGAAAACTTGCTGGAGATGATAATGACACAGATATCACTATAAACTGTCCAACTTTCAGCTACGTATATACATTCAATCCAAAGATATAAGAAAAGATAAAATCCCGGGAGTCTTGCAAAGTTTGCAAATTTTGTATATGTTTATATTATGTGCAGAAATTGTTTTTCAGTTCAAATACAAACATGTACAAAATATGCAAATTTCGTAACGTTATATTATTATTTCCGGTTTTTACAGCATTTCGTACCTTTTTCGTACAAATTTTGCAATTTTACTAATGTTAATAAGTTCTTTACGGGAAGTTACTTTTTTGACTTAGAGATCAAAAATTAGTGTAACATGCAAGTTGTACGTCTATTGTGTACTGAAGATAGCGAAGACACAGAGTAGATACATACAGAGCTGTAACTGGCTGTCGTAAACACTGCAGAAACTTACGTTTTTATGTACCCACTTTTTTTCAGGCGACCGGGCAAAAAATGATCAACTGCGCGTGCTCGGCAAGTTCCTGCATGAGCAGTTAAAGAAAGCCGACATCCAATAGGGCCAATAGGATGTATGCATCCAGTAACTTGCCAAGCACGTGCACAAATAAGTGGGTACACTTGTTATAACTCTGTATATGTATCTATACTCTGTAGCGAAAAGTAAGCATCCATATGGTTACATTTTCATGTCACACAGTTACTTGGGGATTGGATTAGGTTTCGTAATTGTGTGACATGAAAAGATAACTGTCCATACTCAGTCTGTCCATTTGGTCAAGACCAATTTCTCAAATTTCTCGATCACACAAATCGCGTTGCTCGCACTGATCTGTGGTGGCTCGCAACATCGGCACTTTATGTATACCCAAACTCCTACTGATCCAGACAAGATTTCTGAATAAACATTCCCAAATTTATAAACAAGCTGTTGACCAGGCAGTTTGCTTGGAATTTAATTAACCTAGGGTTAAGCTAATCATGCAGCTTTCGAACAACCGGCCCCGAAGTATTTCCACGTAAGATGCTGAGCAATTATTGCCAAAAACAACACACATATGCAGACATTCCAACTCTCCCGATTTTACCGGGAGTCTCCCGAAAATTCATACAATCTCCTGGTCTCCCGATTTTTCAGAATATTCAGGAAATATCGTAAAAAAATCATAAGGCCAATGAAAATTGATATCATGTTTCTCGTCCCCGCCCGCATGGGATTTATCTACCGCACGAAAATTTTTCATCATTCATTGTTTTTGAAACATAGGCTTAAAAAACACCAACTTCATCTCCAGATCAAAGTCTTATTGCTGCATTCCGCAAGCGCAACTCAAATTTGTATCTTTCTAAAGATATTACTCACCAGAATGCCTCTATTTTTCATGTCAGCCCTGGTATGTGTAGAAATATACTGTAAGTCTGTAGACTGTAGTGTAGGACGTATTAAATTAAAATGAATTATACACCAATTTTTAATACTTCAGATTTTTATGGGGGTTTTTACTGGGTCAAGAAAATTATTGACAAGCAGAATTCAAATACAAAAAATAATGAAAAATGAAAAAATCCCGCTCCAAATTTTTGAAAATTGTGGACGAGAAACATGATATCAATTTTCATTGGCCTAAACATACTGTTTTTAGCAACATAATAGTCTGTTTTAGCAACATAATAGTCTGTTTTAGCAACATAAATGCAGGAAATGCCATTTCAGAAGACTTGATTTTTAAAATTTTTTCACAGAAGAACAAGATTTCAATTCACTGAACAGTCTCCCTAAATTTTACCTCGAGTAGTTGGAATGTCTGCATATGTAGAACAAGTAATAGCTAAAATTATTTGGATGATGTTGAATGGCGTTCACTGAACCTCACTCATAAATTGTAATCCCTGATTTTGGTAGGGGTACACTGTTCCCTGGTAAAAAAAAAGATGGGGAGCCAGCATTCCCCCTGGAAAACATCACTGGTTTTATATTATCAAATGGTCGATATTGGACATATATGAGGGATAGAGAGTTGTATAACATTGCTACCAGTCTGCCTTGTACCCAGGCGTCTCTTTGTAAAAAAAACAGTGATGCGCATGTGACGAGTTTACATGAAGTATTGTAGTGGGGAGAGATGGCAAACCTTCCCAACAGCCCCTTCGCGCGTCGGCTGCCTACCTGAATACTTCATGTAAGCGCCTGGGTACGAGGCAGGCCACCAGTGGTATATTTCAGATATGGGATGTTTATTAGATAAAAATTTCAAATTGTCAGTACATAAAGACGATAATAAACAGCTACGGTGTCAAGGGTATCATGCAACTACCTGAAAAATATATGCAGGACTTTGACGTTTTGAGCAAAGGCCCTGAATTTGTTGTCAAAGGGCTTAATACGCTCAAAACGTAGAAGTTCTGCTTATATTTTTCAGGTAGTTGCATATCCTTGAAACCACAGCCGGGTTTTTTATTACAGTAGATACATCATACATGGCATTTAATAAAGAGGATGTTAGGGTTTGTAATCCAAGTGAGAATATATACATTTTAAGACCTAACCAGGAACGACTGCGAAAAATGCAGCACAAGGTCCTCTGGTAGGAATTGAACCTACGGCCCTGCGATTCCGGAGCAGCACTCTAACCAACTGAGCTACAGAGGCCAGCTGTTGAGCTGTAACCGTAAGTTCATGTATATATAGGTAATTGGGTGTGCGGGTTGTGATAAGGATACTTGAATAACTTAGTTCTGCACTTCACTTGGTGGAATTAATATTAGGATGTTAGGATTTGTAATCCAAGTGAGAATATATACATTTTAAGACCTAACCAGGAACGACTGCGAAAAATGCAGCGCAAGGTCCTCTGGTAGGAATTGAACCTACGGCCCTGCGATTCCGGTGCAGCGCTCTAACCAACTGAGCTACGGAGGCCAGCTGTTGAGCTGTAACCGTAAGTTCATGTATATATAGGTAATTGGGTGTGCGGGTTGTGATAAGGATTCTTGAATAACTTAGTTCTGCACTTCACTTGGTGGAATTAATATTAGGATGTTGGTCTTGAATGACTTAGATTATTGCACTTTACTTGGTGGAATTAAATATTAGGATGTTAGGGTTTGTAATCCAAGTGAGAATATATACATTTTAAGACCTAACCAGGAACGACTGCGAAAAATGCAGCACAAGGTCCTCTGGTAGGAATTGAACGTACGGCCCTGCGATTCCGGTGCAGCGCTCTACCCAACTGAGCTACAGTAGCCTGCAAACAGGCTCTCAAACTGAATTGAGAACCTGCATCGATGACTAATGAATTCGAATATCTGCGTCTCAAATCGTGACGCGAAATTCTCATTGGTCAGATGCTATAATTTTTATTATTCCGCTGAGCTCTATATATAAAAAAACTATGCATAAAAAACACATTAACTGATCAAATTGGTCTTGGCCATCTTATCTCAAAGCACGAAATGTTTTGTTTTGAGAAAACAGTATTTAAAACATTTAAACTTTTGCTTCAATATCTTATATTTCGAAAAAGAGTATAAACTGTACGGTCTAAATTTAGTTTGCATGGTCTAAGTTTAGTTTGGACGAAAGTTGTAAACAACACCATATAAGGATAGACATTCCATATTTGGAAAAACGAACGTTACGGGGCAGATATTCAAATTCATTAGTCATCGATGCAGGCTCTCAATACAGCTTGAGAGCCTGTTCGCAGGCTAGAGCTACAGAGGCCAGCTGTTGAGTTATAACCGTAAGTTCATGTATATATATATATATAGGTAATCGGGTGTGCGGGTTGTGATACATGAACTTACGGTTACAGCTCTACAGTTGGCCTCTGCAGCTCAGTTGGTTAGAGCGCTGCACCGGAATCGCAGGGCCGTAGGTTCAATTCCTACCAAAGGACCTTGTGCTGCATTTTTCGCAGTCGTTCCTGGTTAGGTATTAAAATGTATATATTCTCACTTTGATTACAAACCCTAACATCCTAACACAGCTACTGTACATGCAACTTGCTATTTCTGACATTAAACATTCGCATTTTTCAAACACTAGACTTTGCATTTCATTATAACTTTTGAGTTGATATGTTTAATTTTAACAGTACTAGTGAGTTTTGTAACTGTAAATGTAATACAACCCTTTTAAGTTTGCACTAGTTGAGATGGGTGTAGATAAAAGGCGGGCGAACGGCGGACCGCGGACGTCGGACCGCGGACTGCGGACGGCGGAGCATTTTATAAACACACGATTACTACCGCAACTAATTATAATATACCTTATATTAAATTAGACCAGCCTTAGATCTGTGAAATGAATATGTTTTCACCCGTTCGAATTTTTAGCAATGGAATTTTTTAATCAGCATTTATATGATTCAGTACGTATTTATGATAGGCTATACGCCGTCGTTCACGGAAAACCTTTGGAAATATTGTAAAAAAGCAACTCAATTTTGGAGCTTCTGTTAGGCAGAATTTTTCGTACTTTAAACAGTGCTGACTTGTTGTTTTATAATGAAAATAATCCTCGTTTTAATTATAAACCTAAGAGGTTCACATGTAGAAATGGCCGATTTGCATGCGACGACTATTCTATATATGGATTTTAGAAATATTATGTATTAGGGGCGGATCATTTGATGGGGTGGTTTTTTAAACCTTCTAATGCTGCTCAATATTTTTCTGTCATTCAAGCTAGGCTCTTGAACGATTGTTTTATTTTCTAGGCACAGTCATATAGGTAGTAAGTATTGAGTATAGGCCATGGATCGTGATTTAAGAGAATTTTTTATAACGTTTGGACATGGAAACGTTCACAATTGTATATATTTAGTATTATTTACAATTGTATATGTTTGTCATTTCTTTAACTGTATTGAGTTATTGATATTTTCCTGACATATTTATGTAAATATAATATATTTTAATATCTACTATGTAAATGTCACACATTAATCAGTGTAACAAGCTGTTTGAAAAATGTATATATGTGTGTATTGGGTATTATATCATATGTATTTGAAGGCTTAGGGAAGGTTATAATTTCGTTCTACATTTATATACAGTGGAATAGTAATGTGTAAGCACTCACATGAATGGACCTTGGCTACGTGTAGCCTTTTAGTAAGTAAAACGGGAATTAATTTCATTATAAAAAAAACAAGTCAGCGCAATTTAAAGTGTGAAAATGACAGCAAGTAAATGTCATGTAATAATAATAATAATAATAATAATAATAATAATAATAATAATAATAATAATAATAATAATAGTCTTTATTAAAATACTCAGATACATCCGTCTGAGTTTACAATCGAAAGGTAATTGATCTAGTTATATTTACAATGTAAGTTAAGAAGCGTAAAAAGTTTTAAAAAGTTTTTAATACATTAATGTCTAAACAAAGTTATACAGACAACGATTTATGAACGACCTTTGAATCTTTCTGTTCTCACTAGGGGGAGTTCATACTCATGCCCTCTAGGCCTAAGTAACCTACTTCTTTTTTCCGGCAGCAGTTCAAACAATGCATTGTCCTCAGTTGATGTTATTTTGTTCCACAGTTTCTTATCTCTCTTATCACGTATTTCTTTAATGTGTGTTCGTTTTGATATATAACCATTCTTATGTGCACGTTTAATGAATTTATCTATTTGGTTCAAATATTTACCGTCATATGCACAACCCCACAGCTCAACAGCAAAAGTGAATATCGACATAATTAGGCTATCAAACAGCAGATCTAATTGTTTAATTGATAGTCCATAGTATTTGCAAACTCTCATAATGTACATTCGTCCACTTGCTTTTTTGAGCATTTCTTCGAAGTGCAAATCCCAGTTGCACGGATTATCTTGTAGAGTAACTCCTAAAAGTTTTAGCCATGTTTTTCGCTTAATTGAAGGGATAAGCTCGGGCAAAACTACAGAGGTGTGTCTGCGAACAACCATTTCGTACGTTTTTTCCAAGTTTAAAGGCATTCTATTCTCTTCCGCCCAATCCTGTAAACAGGCAGCTTCAGATCGAGATGTGTCACCACTTTCGTTGCCAGGCACTCCTAACGTCAAATCGTCAGCAAATTTGACTAACGCATTACTAGGATCAGCAGTTTTAATATCATCAACCATTATTGAGAAAAGAACTGGGCCTAAAACAGTACCTTGAGGGACACCACGATTAATATATAAATATTCTGTAACCATTCCATCAACCATTACTCTTTGTATTCTATTTTCTAGAAAGCTAATTAACCAGTTCACCACATACGGATTAATGGGTAGCTTTTTAACTTTTTCAAACAAAAGATCGTGGGGCACACTGTCAAATGCTTTGCTAAAATCGAACGACAGCACTCTAACATAATTAGCGTTTTTATCCAGCCACTCTAGCCATTGATGTTGGGATTTAATCAGAGCCATAGTCGAGTTGTGACCCTTTTTATAAGCAAATTGGTCAGGACCAATGTTATTTCTTGTGATAGGTTCGATTTCAGATTTATACACGCACTTCTCGAATAGTCTCATGATGATGTCCGTCAGAGAGATTGGTCTTAACTGGTTGCACGAATTTAATGGTGATTCTTTAGGGAGTGGTAATAAATTAGCGGATTTCCATTTCTGAGGTACTTTGCTGGCTTTTAGTGACATGTTAAAAATTTCTGTGACAATAGGAGCTAATTCAATAGCAAACGATTTCCAAAACCAATATGGCAGATTGTCCGGACCCGATGAAGAGCGTTTTTGATTGAGTAAAAGATATTGAACTTCATGAATTGACAGCGAAGGAATTCTTGTTCCTTCGGAGGACCCCCCCCCCCCACCCTCTCCTAATAATATTTTAATTTAATGGCAGTGTTAGGGCAGTTGTATATAGAAGCACAAAAGCTAAGGCGCTTTTTTGCAATATTTCCAAACGTTTCACGCGAAAGACGGCAAATAGCTTCCTATCATACATATGTATTGAACGCTGATTAAATTAAATTCCATTGCTAAAAATTCAAACAGATGAAAACATATTCATTTCACAGATCTAAGGCTAGTATACTTTAATTCAGGGTATTATAATTAGTTGCGGTAGTAATCATGTGTTTATAAAATGCTCCGCGGTCCGCCTTCCGCCGTCCGCGGTCCGCCTTTTATCTGTCCGCTTTTTATCTACACCCTAGTTGAGATATATTTTCACCATTAAAGTCGCGGGAGTGGCTTTCGATCCCTAACCTGAAATCAGGCTCTATTTTACAAATAATAGCCACAATCCTTAATCCGATCGCTTTCCACCCACAGCAAAGTTTATATTTAGTATCCAATCAAAATATCGCAGGATAAATTTAAATTTCACACAAAGACAACAACAAATCTAATTATAGTTGTGATCACTATAAATATATCAACAACAATAGTATAATCTAATTGCACCAACCAATCAAATGACAGATTGAATCTTTTGTCTTATAAACCAATCAGATCAGTTACAACCGAAATACGGTTGTAAAAACATGGACTTTTGTTAAGGTTTGTATCAGGCCTATTTATTTATTTATTTATAGGCCTGATCGCAGGTTCCTAGCCCTAGTTCTCGGCACCCCCGATGCATTTCCGAGGTTCACTGCATGATCTATCAATTCATGATAACTTTCTTAACTATCAATTCCTGTGCCCAATTTTTATTATTATTTATTTAAAGGATTCATGGTTTCTGATACGCTGATAAGCCAACTGTGAAATCCTCATATATATCAAGTTGATATTATCAACTCAATAGCTAACTAAATATAGAGTTTTGAAATAATATTCAACGGATTGACGTCATAACGATGAATATGACAAAATCATATTCAACCGTTATCACGTCATGCAAAGGAAATATTATAATTAAAGCTTTCTTGTGTGATTGCGAATTTTAACGCAATGTTGCTACAGGAAAGGATATAATGAAGAAAAATAGTGGCTAACGGTTTCACGAAGTTTATCATGAAATCGCGGGATACAGTCCCGTAGAAACCGCCAAATAAGAAAAATCTGTTGTAAATTTGTGGGATATTTAAAAATTAGTGAAAGAGGTTGAGCATGATATGAAAAATTATATTTCCTTTTTCATAAGTATCGTAAGATGTTTCAAAACCTTTCGTGGCATTTTGCGTTCATATTTCTTGATTACATTTTTGAAGTTGTTTTCTTTAAACCTGCATGCAATTTGGTGCAAATACGGCCGAAGGTTACGTTTGGTTGTGTTTCCACATTTCGTTTTCGTAGAAAGCCTGAACGAAATAGTGGCTTAATAAGATGTATCACCTGAGATTTAAATTGTATCTGTAACAAAAACATGGGACTAACGGCTCAAATAATAATAAAGAACGATTGGATGCTGTGGTTTACACCGTTTGCAAAAGGGTAGTATTGTTTTACAATCTCGAATGGTTGGTACCCCTATAGGCAGCGACTGGATCAAAACCAAAGGCAAATGCTTATGTTTTTTTATTGTGTTGTTTTAGTATAGATTGACTTGCTTGAATAACAAGCACCACTGATCTTAAATATAATACGCAACACTTGATTTTTAAAGTAAGCTGTGGATTCGTCCATGAAAATTAATATTTGTCCGGGTCTTAGAAGCGGGGAAACCTAAGAAAATATTGGAGTTTGAGCAAAAGAACCAATTACGACGATAAATAAGTCTTTTTTGCCTACATGTTAGCGCATCTAGCCGATCTAGGCATTATCTTGCTAATGCTGTGGTTAAAAGTGATTGTTCTTCAACCAAAACAACCGTCCATATTTGACTATTAATGAATACTGATCCCAATCCTTACCCTGGCTCAGAAAAAAACAGCGACACATGAATTCATATATCCCTTCTTCGTTCTTCTGCCTTGGTTCAGAACGAATAGTTTGACCAGCACTGGCAGAAGAACAAAGACGGGATATAGTTTCATGTCCCGTTATTTTGTCTGGGTAAGGATTAAGGTTAGCATTCATACAAAATTAGCTAGCCTGCGTGCAGGCCTACCGAGGGAAGAATAGTGGGCCTGCATGCAAGGAAGACCGGGTATTTGCATTTGTCCAGCATTCCGATTGGCTGTTTGCTGTTGCATTCTACATGTATAATTAGATCAGTGATTAGTCACAAAGGCTCTGGATAAGCTTAAAATTGAACTGATAACTTTTTTGATTAAAAATGGAACAAGAACAGACTGTTTCTTGTTTACTTGAAGGTAGAGATGTTTTTGCCAACGGGAATAGTTGCGAAGGAGTTGGAAGTGTTGGAATAGCAACATTACCACTGGGGTAAACTAATTAACCTTTACTTGAGTTTCATTATTTTAAACAGATTTGATATATGTTCCTCAAGACAATTATCTTTTGGTTGATGTTGACTCTGTTCCCGCATTGAAGAAAACAGCGGTTTTCGCGTTGAAGATTTAGAGGCAGTTGCATGTATAAGCCTATATTCGAAACACTTCGCGATTTGCAGGGCTTCTTTGAGAGGGCAAAACAGAAGACGGTAATTGCCTGTTGAAACGATCTGGACTGTGAACGCTCTATTCTAATTCTGTCGAGTTCTTTACCAAGTTAAATAACTGAAATAAATTTTATACCTTCCGTCCACAAGAATGGCACACACGATCTGATAAGTGACACAATTTATTTATAACAATGGCGACAGAAGCACGTCACATTAATGCTAAAGGGGTCGCATGACTTCCCTCATGCACGATTCGAAGTTTGGGACAGGTTTTCTGTTGAAATTCGTTCTAATTTGCCTGTTCCGAATTTTGTTGAAAATGAGCACTTGCAAATTTGGCAATGATTTGAAGCTGGCTGGATTGCTCGCTTTTTCGGAGTTAAACGCAGCCATTTACACATTGACCATTGTTGCTCTATATTCTGAATACGCAGGGAAAAAAACCCGCAACATTTTAATGCCCGTTTGTTCACTACACTGTTACTGTCATTGTTTTTTTTACAATTGACGCGAGAATGAGGTGTGTTATGAAAAGTGGCGTTTTACAAAACACCCGGTCTTCCTTACAGTCCCACTATTCTTCCCTCGGTGGGCCTGCACGCGGGCTAAAAATTAGCTGAAAGCACGTTGAGCAACCTGCCAAAATAACAAAATAATAAACGAAGTAAGCGCCGTGTTTGTTGCGACAATATCAGTAGCGAGCTAGCCATAGAAACAGGTCAAGCTATGCCAATTTTTAATGATTTGCATAATTCAAACATCAGATATGTATTGTCTTTTAATAACTTACTTAGATACTAACAGGTTTATTAGCATAACAATGATAACACCAGTTGCCATAGCTAGCTTCGCCACGGAACAATTTTAGGATAGAAAACAGCCGTTAATTTAAGCTAGTTTTCCGTGCGCATACACATGTAATGAAACCATTATTCGTTTTATCATGACGCTTATGCATTAATGATTAAATGAATGATTAATTTTAACAAGTATAATTATGTTTTATATATTGCATGGTCTCTCAAAGTTAATCAATGTGCACAAACAACTAATGCCTAAAGCATGGCGACTACAAAAATGCTCAACCATAAATTTGGTACGAACAAAATGTTTTTGTTAAGAGTGATCGATGTCATCCTAATTTGGAGTTTCTATCCTTTTGGAATATATCTGGCTGAATGCAGTTGCCGACAAGCATTGTTCACTCGTGTCACAGGTACAGTAAGCGAGCTTTATTAACTTTAATTGCTCGAGTTCTTGCTTATCTAATTACAGCTTCACTTCTTCGGGAGAGTTTCCACTTTCAATTTTAAAGTTTTAATACAATAAGACATGCAGTAATTACATTTTTTATCAGTTTTCATCAAAACATGAAAATTGATAAGAAATTTGGCTACTTGTTTAATCCATAATTAAAAGCGCAGTCCACAATGAGCAAAATGCGTCGTGAGCCGGATACAGTAACAAATTGTATGATAATGTTTGCTCATACTCAATTCGCGGGTCAGTTAGTTACTCACGGGCCTTGTTAATGTTGAAGCTTTTGTGAATAGAAATTTCCAGTGCAAATTTTATACATTTAATTTGTTAAGACCTAACCACGACCAGCTGCGAAAATGCCACTATAGGTCCTGTGCTGCCACTCCTGTTCATGCAGCGCTCTAACAGACTATAAGGATCTCCACAGATCTAGACTAAAGTGATTTGTTGTCGATGACAATTTGTTATCGACAACTTTTATTCGACGACGATTATTTTTGTGCGAAAAACATTAGAAAAACACCAGTGTCGACAGTATTGGTTTTTCGACTAAAAGTCAAAAGTTCCGCTTCATGCAAAAAAGGAAACAACTATAAGGCCTGTTTCATACGTCGAATTTAATTCAGACGAATTTAATTCGTTATTAAATTCGTCAATTGTTCGACACTAAAATGGTTTCGACGTTTCGTTTCAAACGACGAATTTAATTCTGACGAATTCATTTCATATTTAGCGATCATAGATTACCCAGAAGTAAAAACCACGAGATCAGAAAGAGAGAAACAGACTTTAACATAATTTATGCATTTAATTCGACACGACGATAACACGTCGTATCACTCGTATGAAACGAAGACACGCTACAGACGTTGTATCCGTCTGACCATGACGGATGAAACGTCTTGGATGAATTTAATTCATCAGA